AAAATCAAAGAATTATAATAGCAATACTTACAAAGCATAGCATTAATAGTTGTTGAAATGCCCCACTTTAGGATTCTTTTATAATGATTCTTTAATAAGGATTCTTTAATAATGTGGATGAATATTAAGTCTTTAGCTTGTAATTAACTTTTATATCCAAGATTGGTAACTTTTGCAGGGATTCAAGCAAGGTATAGCTTAAGGTTTAGGTTGTGAATAATGTGAATAAAGAGAGAGAGAGAGAGACAGAGAGAGGGAGAGATTCCAAAAAAATAAAAAGTTTATTGAAAAGTAACAACTAGATATGAAACTACTAGATTTATCCAACTCTTTTTTTTTTCTCCCTTGAATGGTTATCTTCACTTAGTTTTTTTTTTTTTTTCATTTTATTTCCTTATCATTCTTTCCTTCCCCTTTTTCATTTTTTTTCTTCCCCTTGTTTTGCAATAGATAAGCCTTCTCACCCTTTTTGTAGTGGTTAAGCAAGTAGAGGAAAATAAAGATTAAAATGGGCTTCTAGTAGAAGAGAGTTGAGAAATTTTAGAAGAGGGTTAATAGTGGTGTATCTTGGTAGAGAAAAAGAAGATCACTTGAATAATGTTTATTAATAATTATAATGACTTAATAAATTCTATTATTTGTAAGAATTATTTTTATATAATAATGTTATATCTAAATTAAAGTAATATAGTATAGTCAATTGGAGGATTTTCCTCGTTATAAGAAATCAACTATTATTATGCATAATGAGATGCTTCAAGTATGAAGTGAGTTGATTATCTAATTTAACTTTTTTCTAAAATTTATATTTTAGCTTTTCCTCATGTATTCTTTCTTTTGAAACATGAATTTTTCCTTTACTCCATGCTTATTTGACAATTCATTTAAGAGAGGAGATGATAAATATAATAAAGCATGCATTTACTATCATGTAATACAATGAGGCATATAAAGTCATATCTTACTTGCATTATTTTTTTTAGCTTATGGAGCCTTCTAAATCATGGACTCCTTATTGGCTTCAATTTTCTATAATAACTAAACCTAATGTTACTATTGGGATAAATTACTTGATGTTGGGAATTTTTTATCTTGGATTATTTATATCTCCATGAATAACTATTAGCTTATATCATAAGAATTAAGAACTTATATGTTTCTTATTATATTGTTGTTTTTGTCTCTTCTTAACATCTTCATTTTTAACACTATTTTTTGTTAAATAGTTGCATGAAGAGATTTCTATACTTCTAATAAAGAGATTATTTTTCATCTTATTTTTTTATTATTTTATAATTATGAAAGAAATCCATTCCTATATATGTTGTGTTTCAAGTTGATTTCTTAAGAGGAAGATTACATAGCAGACAAAAACTATTAGGACATTTTTGTGATGAATGTATATTTTTAATTTGAGATTTTTGGTGTAATTTACTTTAATTAACTGTCCATCTCAACTATGAGAGAACTTTTTGATGATTTGATATGATAATATATCATTTGGATTGATTCTTAGTAATTTGAAGTAGAGAGATAAGGATATACTACCACATGCTTAAAGTGGATAGTTGGAGAAAGATGATAAACTCAATCGATGGGCTATAATCTCATCATCTTGAGCAATGATTGATACAATTTAAATAAAAACAAAATGTAGCTGATATTATCCTATTGGAGACTTATTAGCATACATGTGCATAAAATTGAAAGATGTCTTATAGACTGAAGATAAAGCTTGCCAAATGGTCAATTATCTCATTGAATCAAGAAAAAGCTTTCTAAAGAGGGGTTTAAATCTAATCATATATTTTATATAACAGTTTTGGTTCATCTTTTTTGTAAAAATTGGAGCGACCAGTCTGTCTAGTCATTGTCTTAAGATTGACTTTTCCGAAAATCCCTCTTACATGAACTGTCGGCATGATTCTGAGAAGAGGTGGGATCAAAATAGAGGGAATTAAGACGGAGACTAGGCAAAACAAATTTTGAAAGAACCTGGAGAGCTTATATGAGGTAAATCTTGTGTGATAGGTAAATGGTGTATGTCCAAATAGAATCAAATCGAAACATCATGAACCAAATATCCACAAAAGAATACCTACATAAGCTATCCAAGTAACCAAGAATCAAATTTGTGTGTGTCATGGGTTCAAGAGCAACTCCCAAAGAAACGTATCCTTCCGGTTAATTACATCTTTGGAATACCCAAGAATACTATAGATAAAAGAAATCCTGTTTACATTCAAATGATGACTAGTGAGGGGTATTACAAAGGATGGTTATCTTACAGGAGCATCTCAACGCTTTCAAAGCTCTCGCTAAGCCACCTGAAAGAGAATGAGTCTCTCACATCCTAAATGGATAGTGGCTCATCGACAGTTGAGGTTTATGAAATAACTGGGTCATCTCATAGTGTCCACACTATGCTTTTAAGATCTAACCGAGTCATAAGGGTAGAGGGTGAATCATCGTATCCCACATGGGCCGCAGCCTATCTGCAGTCCATGCTTATGAGATGACATCGATGAAGTGCCAAAGGAGTGACATCGCTCACAAGGGTAAACAAAAAAATACCGAACACGAACGAACAAAGCTTGTGTTTGTGTTCGGTTCGTTTAAAATTTAGTTTGTTTGAAATAAGCTCGTGTT